CAAGGGGTTAAGACACAACCTATGATGCAATCTATAGCCACTGCAGCACGAGTTTGATCCCCCGGTCAGCCAGGGAGCAACCTCCCCTGACTTGCCCGCTGCTCCCCTCAGCAGTGTATTTCAGTCAATCTGCCTGTTCTGTTCCCCACTCTGTCTCTGGTGAATCCTCTCATCATCCACACCTCTGGCCTGTACTCCAGTTCTTGTATGCATAAATAAATAATTCTTGAAAAAAGAAAGAAAGGAAAACATAGCAGATCCATTCTGTGAAGGACGAAAGCACAACTGGCCTCGGTCCTTAAAGGTTTACAATCTGCTCAGGCAGATAAGAGGCAAACAGGACCAAAGCTGCTCTGAAAGAAAAGGAGGTCAGTAAACTAGGTGAACAGTACAGCAGAAAACTCACCCTCAAAAATAGACATAAATGGTGTTTGAAATATGTAGAGTTTAGGATGGAAATGAACAGAGTTTTAATTTAGTCTCAACTCAGGCAAAAGCAGGACCTGAGTCATGACCCTCCCTGGATCAGCTGAGTGGGGACGGAAGCCCCACACTGCCAGAGTGAAATCAGCAATTGGGGCGCGGGGGGTGGGGGGGACTGTGGCACCTGAATGTAGTGTTCCACTGACTCACAGCATGGGAATGTTGTCTAAAAGGGCTGAGTCTGCTAAGAATTGATCTAAAAATGTTGCTGCTGTAACTCTAGGATGAGTCACTGTACTAGAACCAACGCTATGGAAAAACCTGTGGCCTCCATTCAGCAGTAGCTGGGCATGATGAATCTACCAAACTTCTCTGAACGAATAGTTTTGACTTGCTGTCCCCATTTTCTCACCACCAACTCCTACCCCTGGAAATCCACCCTTTACAGCTCGCCTCTTGATCATTATCAGTCGTCTCCTGGTCATCTTTGCATCCCTAATGCCCAGCGGTACCAGGCAGGCAGCTCTAAAATGTTTGCTGAGATGAATCAATGACTCAACACTGATTTTGGTGGCTTTTTCTCTAAGTCCTATTCCTTTTGGCCTTGCTGGAACAAGAATTTCTGACTAGAAATTCTCTTTTCCACCATATTTCATGGCTTTCCTGATTGTCTCCCACTCTACATCTTACCACCTTAGGCTGTTATTCATGGATATTTTTCTTGCTCCTGATTCTCCCTTCAGTTCCCGACATGTGGCTACAACTGGAGGCTCAGGCTGTCCCTCTTTCCTCACTCCGCACTTCATGATATCCAGAAAATGATGACAATGATTATTTAAACCCACAAAATCCTTTCATGCCGGTATTATAAGTCCACATCATAGATGAGAAAACCAGGGCTCAGAAATGAAATGAAATGACTTGCTCAAGCACATGTGACTAGCAAGTGGCAGAACTGGGATTTGAACCTAGGTCTTACCATATTGAAGGTCCAGACACCTTCAAAACAAGGAAACACACAAATAAATATTTAAAGTGCAAAATACAAGAACATTAAAATTTAGAAAGAGATGGACCAGGTTGCTTCCTGCTGAAGCTCCTTTTTTAAGTTAGTGCTGTTTTCTGCTCCCTTTTAACATGTCTTTTCTGGTGTGCCACCTTAACTTCAAACTCACTTTGTTGAAAACCTCATTATCTTTTCTAGAATCTGTTCCAATCACTCTTACTTCTTTCACTATTGCTATCACTCTAAGTCATGGAGCCACTTCTGACTTTTCCTTCTCCCTGTTATTTACCATACTTTCTTTCATCCCACCCTCTTTCCCTCTCCAGTCTTTCACTTGCTACCCAAATCCCAATTCCATCACTTCCCACCTGAGGATTACCATCAACTCCTAACTGATATTTCCATCGCCCCACCACCTTTCTCCTGGATCCCATCCTGCAGTTCACCATGAGATTAAGATTCCTAAACTGAGGTTTTGTATTTTTCACCCCCCAATTATAAAACCCTCAGTGCCTCTTTTTTAGAGATAAAGTCCAGACACTTCGGTCTGATTTTCAATGTCCCAAACAGCCTGGTTCAGCCTGAAGTCTTCAACTTCATCTCCTACCTACTTCACACCTGTAGGACGTCTCTGTTCCAAGAGCCAGTCTCCTCAACTGTTCATGTCAAGGTGGCTGGCTCTAGCTAGAGCAATCACATAATTTATCATTCAGACTGGAAATTCTTTGAAAGTAAAAGTGCTGAGAATTGAGCCAACAGGCATAAACTGAGATCATTTTGGATTATCTAGGATTTAGGATCACCATATTTTTAACATTCCCTGCCCATTTTACACACAGGCCACACAGGCCAGGTAGTAATGATATGCTTCTAGGTTTCTCCTCTCAATTTTTTTTTTTTTTCTGTGTCTCATACCTGGAGTCTCCATCTTTGGAGTATATTCAGGTTAGGCTGCTTATTTAGCTTTCACTTTGGAGTTCTCACTGGGACTGTGTTCCTGATCTACCAGCTCCCAGGAGTAAGGCCTCCTCCTCCCAGCCCAGCCTCAGCCCTTAAGCTGGACAGCACTGCTTCCTCCACACTATCACTGTCCCTCCCATCTCCCCTGGCCTTAGAACTTTGTCCAGCTGCCATGCTACCTTTGAACACAGATTTTTCACCTTTAGTCATTAGGATGACCCTCTTCTCTGTCCTTTTATAGCTTCTGTAGTCTCTGTCATTTGTTTTGCACTCAGCACAGCCCCACTGAACAACTGACCTTTTGAGAATTTGTTCCATCTCTGTAAGCAAAGCAATTGGTAACAAAAGCCCACCACCTCTTAACCATCTCACCCCAGCCTCCAACAGATCAGGTTCTTGCTTGAAGGACAATGATAGGAACCTCTGGAGGATGAGGCCTGGGTCACACAGTCTCTCCCATTTTCTTGTTCTTCTTCTTAGGACCCCCACCCACACTCTGACCACTCTAAGGAAAGGCAAACATTCCTCCATGCTGATGACAGCAGTGAGAGAAATGTCATCTCTAATAAACACAGCACACAACAGCTCCCTGGCAACCACAGCATTGACTCGCATGCTTGTCACTCTTCAATAAATACTGAATCCCAGAAGTTACAGCAAGACCATTAGGAACAAAAAAGTTCTCTGCTACCCAGGAACAATTAGGCAATTATTTGGCAATACTCAGAGGGTATTGGGTTCCTCACTGCCCACCAGTTTCCCAAAGGCCAAGGCAGAGCTCCTGCCCCAGCCATGGCCTCCTATTTTCCCTACCCCTTGACTCCCTGTCATCCATACCAGCTCTGGGCTCTCCCTCCTCCTTTCCTCACCCTAATCAACGAGACATTCTGGCTCTGTTTCCTGAAGCTCATTCACTGGTCTCACTCGCTATGGTCTGATTTTCTTATAACCCAACAGCCTTCAAAGTTTCTAACCATTTAATCACTGGTAAGGGAAAACATCATATGTAAAACAAAATGGTATGACCTCATTTTGTTAATTACTAGCAAAATATTTTGGAGTAGATGGCTATAGTGGGAAAAGTCTTGCCGAAAACAAAACAAACCAATAATAGTGATTTTTCTCATCCATTTAAGTTCCTCAGTGAAAGTATACTAGCTACATAATAAAAATTAAAGAAGCAAAAATAATAACAATTGATATTTACATACTGGTTTCTTTTTTGTCAGAATGGGTGGGCATGGTGCCCTGCCATCTACCATGGTTGCCACCCACAGATTAAGAAAAACAAAAAGCTTTAAGTTTCAGGGGACCCATTCCATTTGTGGACCTTGGATGGGCATGGTTTTCATCCCTATCTGTGTGTGAAAGCAAACCAACTCACGATATTCTCATCACTCACCTGTAGAGAGCAGGCCACCACCTACAATTTTTGTTTTGTTGCTTCTTCCTTCTCTATCCTTAGTTAAGAAATAAGGTGTGTTGGGAAATGTTAAATTCTGGGTGCAAAAATAATAATTCACTGTGTGAAGCAAGATATAACAGGACCTCTAAAACAGTGATTATGGAACTGAAAATGCAGGATTTAGTAGGTTCCAGTTCCAGGTAAGTTGAGTCCTTTTCCTTTCTTTTTGCCTCATAAATATTCATTTCAGATCATTGAACCTCTACTATTTGTCAGGCACTGGTGTAGGCCAGAGGTGCGGGGGTGAGAGGATTCACCAGGGACAAAGTGGGGAGCAGAACAGGTGGATCTACTGAAATACACTGCTAAGGAGAGCAGCGGGTGAAACAGGAGAGATCTGCGCCATACGTGGGTTAACTCCCTGGCAGGGGATCGAACTCAGGTCATGATGGTGATAGCACTGAGAGTTAACATCTAGACCACAAGGGAGGCCCAACTGTTGATTTAAGTTTAACCCAGGAGTTGCCATCATCAGACTAGGGATTAGCTGGCCTGCTCTGCAGGTGCAGAAGCGCATTATCTATCACTGGAAATATCAGATGCCACCCTCACCTCTCCTACCTCTCACTAGTCACACAACGGGAAATTTGCCAACTGATTGCAACTTAGTGATAGCAGTGCTAATCACTGTCCTTGAGACTCCTTACCTGGGGCTTGACTGTTGATTTTCTCTCATGTGTCTTATTCATAGTTGTTCTTTTACATCTGGGATCCCTTAAACTGTCACTGAACTGCGGGTCCAATAATTAGGAGTAAGGTTGCCTATGCCTTTGAGGTGCCACATAGCAACCTTACTCACCACCCAGTGAATTTCACATAAAACATATGAGCTCTACTGAAGTCAGGCCTTCCCAAACTTATCCTCCAAATCTGATAAAAATCCACCCAGTCCTTTTCAATGGATTACACAAAATTCTGTTTACATAGATTGTTATAAATATGCCTTTTGCTGAGGACCCAGAATGAGAAAATACCAACTTCATTCAAAAGTAAACTCTTTAAAGTTCATATTCTGCCTGACAAGTAGGCCAGAGAACAGAATGCCTTGCTGAAACTCAAAAAAGAACAATTGGACACACAGTGTCTCCCCTCCCCTCACTGTGCATATGTCCTGCCTCATTGAGCAAGGCTGAAGGGAATACTCACCCACACATCTTTTTCCGTCCTCGGCCAGGGTGTAGCCACTGTAGCACTGGCAAACGAAGGAGCCCAGCACGTTCACGCAGAGCTGCTCACAGCCATGGTTTTCTACCGCACACAGGTCCTGGACTGAGCAGAGCCACACCATTAGGACACAGCCCTGAAAGAGGTGGCCCTCAGGACAGGGCCATGCAACAAGCAACTCTACAGCACTTGTTAAAATAATTTTTAAAAACATTGCAAATGGTATATGATTAGAATAGAAAAATTCAAAAACAGAAAAAGTATAGAAGGTAATTCACCTATTATCTCCACCTATATTCCTACCACCAGGAGTCAATCACTGTTAACATTTTTGTGATTTATTTTCTATGTACATCTAAGGAGTATATTTCAAAGTTAGAATTATTTCTTTCTATTAAATGCATTAAATAATTTTCAGTTAACATCAGTTTGTATTTTTCCAAGTTAATGAACGTACCCAGAAGACATGTTAATGGATCTTGAGAACTAAGCAATGAACGGGTATTTTCACTTGTATACATCAAGTACTATTCCTAGACTTGAGGACTGAAATGCTTTGCAGTCCCCATCTTGTCAATTTGCATTGAAATAATGCAGCAAAGTCTTTGACATTTTGCAGATGGGGAAGCTGAGAAGACACCGTGAAAAGACATACTACTCCACCAAAAACATGGCAGATCTAAAAATGGTCCTGAAATGTCAGGTCTGTATCAGTTCTTTTCAGCACACTTTCCCTTGTTCCATTTGTCTACCAGAAGGATCTTTGAAAATCCTCTTTGCATTCTATTTATTCATCCCAGTAATGAATGAGGAAAAGAAAAGCCAAAGAAGATTAGACACAGGTAACAGAGATTACTAAGGAGAAATGTTTGGAGGGAGATTAGCAATCCTATTTTGGTCAAATATGTATTATGTGTCCACAAAGTCCTGAGCCCTAGCTATTTATTCAAATGCAACTTAAAAAAAAAAACCCACTCATAAGAATGCATTTACTATAGCACAACTAAGACTATCTCAGAGGATTATAAGATTAAAAGCATTTGGATCCATCACTGACTCAGTTTCTCCTTTGCAGGAACAAGCTGATATGACATTATTTCTCAGCAAGAACAACTTAGTTTCATAACAGAACTTGCTCTACCAGTGTCTTTGCCACTAAAATTGGAGAAAACCAGAGAACATTAAAGGGACTGGAAATATTAAAGAGTTTTCTCTGATTAAAAATTCTCACTATGGGGCCTCCCTGATGGTGCAAGGGGTTAAGACGCAGCACAATGAAGCTATCCATAGCCACTGCAGCACAAGTTCGATCCCCAGCCAGGGTGGTGACACACATGGTGCAGCAGACCTCTCCTGTCTCACCCACTGTTCCCCTCAGCAGTGTGTTTCAGTGCATCTACCTGTTCTGCTCCCTGCTCTGTCTCTGGTGAGTCCTCTCACCCCTTGCATCTCTGGTCTGTAGCTCAGCTCTACATGCATAAATAAATAAATCTTTAAAAGAAAATTCTCACTATGTTACAGTAGAAACTCAATAATCTAGAAAGTTAGATTGATCCCTGAATCCAATGGGAACTTATAATCTAGGTTTTGGAGTTTCATAGTGCTTTTAGATAAATATAAAATATCAAACGGGGGGGAATATCAAACATTATTTTATTCATCACCTCTATTAAATGCACTAAATAATTTCAAAAAATGAAGTCTGCAACATAACATTAAAAAAGTTTAAAAGATTCTGGTTTTAAAATATTAAAATAGTGAAGGAAATACTCATCCCTAAATCAATAAAGCAGATGAGAAAATCACAGCTGCACATTTCTTTAACTCCTACCAGTATTTTTATCTCTTAGATTTCCAATCGGGAACTCCAGTTAAGATGTCCAAAGAATTTAGATATAGGGAAAACACCACTAATGAGAAAAAATTCAGATCCATGCAAAGTGAATAATTACAAATGGCAAAATCTATAGCCAGTTACAAAGCCAGGGCAAAGATCTAAGAAAAATATGAATACTGGAATGCCCTCCACTTATTCAATAGACATATGTGCAGCACCTGCTTTGCCCCTAGCACTGGGGGTCTAATGGTGAGCCAAACAGACAGCAGGCTTCCTGCTATCATGAAGCTTCTATTCTACTAGATGTTCTCAACATGAATCTCTGGGAAGAGTGTTTCTGACCAAAGAACAAATGCAAAGGTCCTCAGGTGGCACAAACTGGCCTCATTGGAGGAAAGGAAGGCTAGAATGGCTATTTTTTAAAATATTTATTATTTATTTATGCATACAAGAGCTGGGGTATAGGCCAGAGGTGTGTGTTGGGGGGGAGGCGGTGAGAGGTTTCACCAGAGACAGAGCGGGGAACAAAACAGGCAGATGGACCGAAGTACACTGCTGAGGGGAGCAGCGGGCGAGTCAGGAGAGGTCTGCAGTGCCATGTGTGTCACCACCCTGGCTGGGAATCGAACTCGTGCTGCAGTGGCTGCGGATAGCTTCATAGGTTGTGTCTTAACCCTTGTGCCACTAGGGAGGCCCTAGAGTAGCTATTAGATGCAACCTAAGTAACTAAAATACAAGCCAGAATGTGATAGAGCTCTGTGAGAGAGGCTGACCAGTTAATGCGAGTTCAGACTGAAGACGTGTTCCTGCCTGTCAAGGTGGGTCGGTGAAGGCTCCCAGATATACATGAGAAAGGGGAAAGCCACTCTGGGGTGACAGAACAGTGTAAGTGTGCAGAAATGAGAGCAAGCAGGACAGGCATGGCAGCTGAATTTCACTGCAGGAATTCCAAGGGAGAAGCGGCAGAGGATGGGGAGGGCAACTGATGCCAGATGCAGAGTGCTCACGTGCAGGCTGAGTGGTCTGAGCTCTGCTTAGCAGCCGTGGGGGCCACTCAAGGTGAAATCCTTCCCAAGGGAGACTGTAGCCCCCTGAGGTGTGCTTTAGAAGGATAAAAATCTGGCAGCTTCACAGACTCTCTCAGCTCTGGGGAACATAAAGGACTTTTAGCACAGTTGAAAAGCATTGCTTGTTTGGGAACAGAGGTCATTTCTGAATTCCAGACCAAAATAGCTTTGGTTTGCTTTCACAGTGATAGGGGAAATCAACCTCTTGACAAAAGGACCTTCAATTGTTCTTCCGAGCTTTTGCCCTCACCCATCAGCTGTCAGTGCATCTCTGTACCAGTGGGTTCCCTCTTGGGGTGTATCGAGCACTCATCACACAGACATTTAGTAGCGACATGCAGGTGACGCTTGCACAACATGGGTGTGAACTGTACTTACAATTGTATTTTTAAAAATAGATAGCAACAATTTTGGAGATTTGTGATTATTTGAAAAAAACTCACAGACAACCATGTAGCCCAGAAATATTGGGAGGAAAATAAGAGCATGTTATGAATGGATAAAAAATATGTACATGATAGTCTACCTTATCATTCACTACTATAAAGTATGCACAAATCTAATGACTGTAATACTATATGCCATAAAAATTCTACTGTGTAGTCTAGGCTGCTACAAAGCAACTATATAGATTCCATAGGGTAAAAGCAACCAAATTGTTGCCTCTTCTTTTTTTTTAAAAAGATTTATTTATTTATACAAGATTGGGGGTACAGGTCAGAGGCATGGGAGGGTGAGAGGATTCACCAGAGACAGAGCGGGGAACAGAACAGGCAGACTGACTGAAGTACACTGCTGAGGGGAGCAGCGGGAAAGACAGGAGAGGTCTGCTGCACCATGTGGGTATCTCCCTGGCCGGTGAGGAATTGAACCTGCACTGCAAGTGCTGCGGACAGCTCCACAGCACTGCGCTCAACCCACTGCGCCACCAGGGAGGCCCTATTGCCTCTTCTTTATTAATTCATGAATCCTTAATACCACTAAGTACACATGAATTTCTTTTTCACATTATCTTTTTATTTTTTTGATGTCTAGTATTAGTATGTTCAACATCTAGAGTGTTGTGTACCATGTAAGACAGTATCGATAGAGGTACTGACAGAGGATTCAGCTTATGAACAGATGGTACCAATAAGTACAGTACAGCACTGTAAATGTATTTCCTCTTCCTTCTGACTTTCTTTTTTTTTTTTTATATTTTTTATTTATTTATTTATACAATCATTGGGTACAGTCAGAAGCGCGGGAGGGTGAGAGAATTCACCAGAGCCAGAGCGGGGAGCAGAGCAGGCAGAAGGACCGAAGTACACTGCTGAGGGGAGCAGCGGGCGGCAGGAGAGGTCTGCGCACCATGTGGGACCCTCCTCCGGTGGCCGGGGAGCAGCCGGGGATCGAACCGACGCCGCAGAGGCCGCGGGCAGCTTCGCAACCCAGCGCCCAACCGCTGCGCCACCGGGGAGGCCCCCCTTCTGACTTTCTTAATCACATTTTCTTTTCTCTTACTTTATTGTAGGACTTTTGTATAAAATACATAAAATACAAAATATGTGTTAATTGACACTTTATGATATAGGTAACAGCAGGCTATTGAGTTTTTAAGTTTTGGGAAACTCGACTGTTATACTCAGATTTTGGACAATGCAGGGGTTGGTAGCTCTAACTCCTGAGATCCCTGGACCAACTGTATTTACTGTATCTCCCCTGACAGACTCTAAGTTCCCCAGTCAGGGGGGAAATTCCCTGCACAAAAATCTGGGGGTTGGAAAATGACATTCCAGCACATGAAAATAATCTACCTCTCAAATCCCAAGCCCATCTCTGAAAGTGGGGAGCAGAAGCTTCTCCCCCTGGTCCCAATTCCCTGCTCTAGCTGCCACTATGCCCCCCTTTCTGTTCCTGGCAAGAACCTTCCTGAGCAGTGGTCATAAAGAAACAGTAAAGTTGGTAATTTTTGTTCTATGATGTATAATTATCTGCTTTCAGTTTCAAACAAGAAGTTTTATAACTATGAAAAAAAGAACATATTATAAAAGAACCCCTTTGAAAGCAGCATTTTGAAAGCAATGAACCAGGACTTCCAAGCAATAATCTTTTTTTCCAAAAGATTCTTCCCTACTGGGTAGGGAGCCATAGACTGCTTATTCCTTGCAGGATGGCTGGGACACCTGCAGGATAGTCTGAATAACTGCAAGGTCTGGTCT